AAAAAAAAAAAAAAAGAAGTATCTCCCTTGGGGCGCCTGGGTGGCTCAGTCAGTTAAGCGTCAGACTCTTGATTTCGGCTCTGGTCATGAGCTCAGGTTCGTGAGATCGAGCCCTTCATTGGGTTCTGCGCTAACAATGTGGAGCCTGCTTAGGATTGTCTGTCTCCCTCTCTCTGCTCTTCCCCACCCCACTCAAAAATAAATAAATATTTTTTTTAAAAGTATCTCCCCTAAATCCAAAATGTTAATATACAAACTGAATCTTGAGAAATGATTCCCAACCCATATAACCTAGATTTTTATTAAGTTGTATAAAAGATTACATTTGACTGTAACACCAAGATGCTCCTTAATGAAGCTATGGCATATAAATGATAGCAACCATTCTTAAGGGATCTCTACGATGTAGGCATGATTCTAAGTACTTTATACATATTAGCTCACTTAATTCTCAGAATAACCCTATTAGGTTTAGCATTATTACGATTATTATTATTATTATTATCGTTATTGTTTTACTACTGCTATTTATGGTTGAGGATACTGAGGCTTTGGGGGATAATTTATCTAAGGTCATATAGATAGTAATAGTGAAGCAAGGTTACAAACCCAGATAACCTGATTTCATAGCCTATGTTCTTAACCACCTTCCTTATTAAGAGATTCTTAGAAGTCGATAAACTCTCATTGTGATGCTTGAAAGGGATTAGCAAAGTATTAATCTATTTATAAGTATAGAATCTATTTATAAGAAAGTATTTATAATCTATTTATAAGAAAGTAATAATAAAATAACACTTCTACAACACTCCACAGAAACTTTTCCCGTGCTACTTTATTTGATCTTTGCAAAAAGTTTATGTGCTCTCTGAAAAGTCTCTTTATTACCCCCATTTTGCAAATGAAATAATTGAGTTTGGAAAATTACCCAGCATCAGAGAGGTGGAGTCATGACTAAAATTTGAGGCTCTTAATTTAGAGATAATGGACTTTGCATTATGCCTTACTATCTTATACGTTTAAAGTCAGAATTTTATAGAAAACCAAGCTGAATTATTATTAAGAACTCGTTTCCAGTTCATGTGCTATTTCTACATGAAAACTTCTCAGAATCATTTGGAATAGTTTGTATCGCAAGGGAGTCTTACGGTTCTTATTGGAATCAGAGGCAGGAGGTTGTCTCAGAAACAATCAGATTACCTCTATGATCATTATCTGATTTTGGAAAATCAGTGATATGCTGGTAGCTAAGTCTTGGTATTATATCCTTGCTACCTTATTGGAAATGGAGATAGAGAAAACTTCACCAGTATAGCCCTGATACTAATGGTATTTTTTCCACTGCTGTGGAAACATTGCTTTATCCCACATCACTTAATTTTTTTTTTACATTTATATATTTCTGAGAAACAGAGAGAGACAGAGCACAAATGGGGGAGGGACAGAGAGAAAAGGAGACACAGAATCTGAAGCAGGGTCCAGGTTCGGAGCTGTCAGCACAGAGCCCAATGCAGGGCTTAAACTCACACACCATGAGATCATGACCTGAGCCAAAGTCAGACGCTTAACTAACTGAGCCACCCAGGTGCC